TCCAGGGACCTCCGCACCCACGGGAGGTGGAGAAGTCAGCATGGAGGGTGAGGAGGGTAGAGTTTCTAGGAGGAAATTAAGAAGGGAGCTGACATTTACTGGTACATACTGTGTGCCATGCGTCTAACTCTGAAGACCCCCGTGGTGGGAAGATCATGCAGTGCAGAACTAGCAGTTTTCAAGGGTTGTAGCCTGTTGGAGACCTTGCACCAACCAGGATACAAAAGCTGTGTATGGGGAACACTTGTATATTACCAAAAAAAAAAAAAAAAAAAAGACAACTATGGCGGGCAGTGGAAAATTTGAATCCACACGGACCAAAGAATCCTGGTTGCTCTTAGACGCGTTCCCCTGATAAGCCCAGAGAAGGACCATGCAGCCTCGCAGGCTAAACCATCCATCCAGGCCAGAAAATCAGCAAGAGCTTCTCTTCAGAATAAAGACAGGTGGGGCCAGGGATATAGCTCAGTATCGCTGTGCCTTCCCCGAAAGTGCAAGGTACTGAGTTCGATCCCTGGTACTGAAAATAAATAGGTAGGTAGGTAAACCAGGGCTGGTGGCGCACACCTGTAACCCTAAAACTTGGAAGAATGAAGCGGTGGGGTCACCACATGTCTTAGGCCAGTTTGAAAGACATTGTGAGACCCTGTCTAAGTAAATAAATAAATAAATAAGCAGCTGTGGTAAGCACCTACCTGTTAGTTTCAGGGAAATGAGAATAAAAGTTACAGGTAGCTTTTACTGATGTCCCTAATATTTGTGATTTATTATGCCACCCATCAGAAACAGCTCTTGTCCTTAGCAATCACTCCACTGTTCGCACCATGCTTCACCCTCCAGAGTTTCCGTACCTTGTGTCCAGGCATGCCCTCAATGAAGTACGTAAGTGGAAACTGCTTGTCAGAGAATGATTCCTGGATACGGTGGGCCTACATCTGGGCCCTTTTGTTGACGGCTTTTATGTTCTTTGACCTTGTCCGATAAAAACACCTCATTTGACCACACACAATTGCCTTGGGCAATTCCTGACTTGTTTAGGCCTGTTATGTTATGAATCCACTCCCCAGTGAAGAGCTGTGTCCTTCTGGTTCACCCTTGGCCTCCAGTAAGTGCCTACCTGCCCTGGACTTTAAGGTGTTGAAGGTAGGAGCCTCCCAGCTCACCATTCCCAGCCAATTCGGGGACCTTTGGAAATAAAAATCACAACTTTGAGCCAATAGAAATGATTCATGAGCAACACTTGTAAAGATGGGCAATCCCTAAGGTTCCTCTCACAGCCGGAAACTGTGACCTCTGTTAGGAGTAGTTAGATCACTCAGTGAAGAAGAAGCTCTCCCGGGGCTCAGCTGGTGTAACAGTGCAGTCCAAGAGCAAATGAGTGTATGAGGTAGTGTGCACATGCAGGCTCCCACGCGTGTTCCATGTGTGGACACCCATGAGTCTATGAGAAGTGATTAGGGCAAAGCCTTAGGGCGTTCATGTCAAACTCCACGAGTAAATCAGGTGGATACAGCTGGGCACCTACTGTGACCTGCTATCAAAGAAAATAAAAGAATCCATTTCAGGGTTATCTTATCCAATTCTTATTTTTGGACAAACAAGCTCAGAGGTGAACTTCTTTCCCTAAAGCTCAGACCCATGTGGGATTCTCACCTCCTATGTCCCTGCCACACCACACAAACGCCAGGGCAGGGGAGAAGCACCCAAGTGCTGTGCAGGCTGCCAGGCTGGTTCTGGGGTTGTGAGAGCTAGAATCTGCCCCACACCCAGGTCTAAGCAAAACTGGCTCCACTCTGGGCCTCTTCCAGCTGCTTGGAGGAGGAGTCTATGAGGCCAAGGGACACCTCCTCGGGACCCAACTTCCCACACTTGAGGGCCCAGGACCCAGAAGGCATCATACCCATAGCCCAGGCCTTGTTTCTGGAGCTTGTGTGGCCTCTTCTCAGCTCTGTCCTCCCAAGGATGGACAACAGCTGATGTGTGTGGTCCCCCGGGGTGGCTGAGGAGGCATGGCAGAACTTCTGGTTAGGGCTGCACAGAAACAAGGGACCAAGGGAGGGAGGAGAAGATCAGACCAGCTCCACTTTCACAGAGCAACCTGGCTGCCACAAAAGGAGTCTGCACTTCTGCCTCCGATCCTGCCCTACCAAGTGGTTACAGAGGGCTCGTTAAGGGAGGGAGCTGGACACAAGTTATTGCTGGCTTTGCCGTACCTTGCTGATTTGTACACAGTGTGGTGTGTAGGCCTCCGTATGTACTCCTGACCCAGGCTCCTCTCTCCTTAGGGGTGGGCCTGGATATGCATGGGAGGGAGAACTGACAAACTGAACAGCTGGAGAACATCTGGAAGACATGAAGCATGGTGCAGAGAGCTACAAATCAGGAATCTGAAGAGCTAAGTTCTGCTGCACAGAACTGTGAACTTGAGCCAAAGGCTTAGCCCTACTCTCAGACCTCAACCTTCCTTATCTGATGATAGGTTTGAAATGCCTACTTTACCTAGCGGTGGGTTGTTGGAAGAGGTGTAGAAAACAAACCAGGCATGGTGGCGCACACCTGTTATTCCAGCACTCAGGAGGCTGAGACAGGAAATTGCTGTGAGTTCAAGGCCAGCCTGAATTACATAACAAGACCCTATCTCAAAACACCCAAAGTAATTAATAATAATAATAATAATAATAATAATAATAATAATAATTGTACAAAATAATGTAAATGTCCATAAAACTCATTCATTATATTTCATGAGTATTTCCTGAGCACCTACTATAAGCTAGGGTCTGTGTGCAGTGGGGGTACAACAAAAGGAAGGTTTTCCTCATGGGTGGGGCCAGGTAATAAGCAGCTGGTGACATGGGCTGGGGATTTAGCTCAGTGGCACCACACCTGCCTGGCAAGCACAATGTCCTAAGTTCGATCCCCAGTACCAAAAGAAATAAAAAGAAAAATAGCAGGTGACGGATGTTTGGAGACTAACAAGGGGAAAGGAATGTGCAGAGAGGCAGCAATATCATGTGAACCAGAGTGGTCAAGGATGACCACTTCAGTCAGTCACTGACCCATGGCAATAACTGGGAAAGGATGCTCAACAGAAGGGACAACCACAAGAGGAGGAAGTGATGAGAATAAAGCACCCCGAAAATCCTCACTGAGCCCCTGCTGAGTAAATGCCTCCTCCCAGTGCTGAGTGATGAGTAGGATTAATTAGCTTACAGTTTTTTCAAAGAGTTTACAATCTTATGGAGAAAATTTTACTTAAAAAACAAACTAGAGGGCTGGGGATTTAGCTCAGTGGTTCTGCAGCCTGCCTTGCAAGCACAAGGACCCGAGTTCAATGCCTGGTACCAATAGATAGATGATAGATAGATAGGTAGATAGATAGATAGATAGATAGATAGATAGATAGATAGATAGATAGATAGATAGATAAATTAAAGGGCTGGGGAATGTAGTTCTGTGGCACTTCACCTGCCTGGCAAGCATAAGCTCCTGAGTTCCATGGGGGCCCAGGGGGGTCTATGTTATACAGCAGGACATAATGCCACAAAGAAGTTACAAAGAGTTTGAAGGAAGAAGCAGTCAAGTTTGGGGGGCTCTAGGAGAGCTGCAGGGTGAGGTTGCCTAGGAGTTCACCTTCGTGAGTCCTCAAAGAATGAGAGGAATTGGGAGGACAAAAGGTATTCCAGGTTTGAACACACACAAAGGCAGGGCCAGTGAGATTCTCCTACTAGTGTCTTAGAACATGGTTGTTAGAGTCACCTAGACTCCAGAAAACAAAAGAAACTCAAACAAACCACCTCACGTCCATACCTAGGAACAATTAAATCCAAGCCTCTGCAACCCTCCCCTTAGAAAGCTTCTTAGGCTTTTGATCTGCAGTCAGGAATAGAAACTATGCAGCTAGAAGCTTAATTCAGCCTTTCTGTAAAGTGGGAAGATGGTACTTAAGAAATGTGTGATAGCGAAGAGAGAAGCTAGGACAGAATAAGAAGGCCTTAAATAGGGACTGAAGGGTCAGGATTTAATTTTGTAGGCAATGAAGTATCAGTAAAAATCTTTTTGAGCTATTATTAGAACTAAGCACAAGAAAGATTATTCCATTAACAATGTATAAGATCATCTGGAAAAGAGAAAAGACTGCAGTGAGAAAATCATTTAGGAAAATATCTTAACACTAGATTCATGAACTATCAAGGATCCTAATATTTTCTATACCAAAAATTCTATACCAGTGGGAGTCTAAGGTGGGTGGTAGCACATTTTAGAGGACAATTTGGCCTTCTCTATAAAAATTTTAAGTCAGTTCACCATTTGGCCCAGAAAGTCTACTTCAACACATACACACCTTTTTATTCTTCTTCTTTTTACCTTTTTAAAGGTTTCATGTATTTATTTAGGGGTTTTTTCCCCCTTCTTTTTGAGACGAATTCTCATTGCATAGCTCAGGCTGGCCTTGAACTTACTATGTAGCCCAGCAATCCTTGAACTTGAACTTGAACTTGCAGCAATCTTTCTGTCTCAAAAAGCATGCACCACTACATCCAGTTTATTTTTTTCCTAAGTAAGGTTTAATTCAGCCAGGCAAATTCAATCAGATTATTGAATCAGAGAAATTTCACCTTTTTTAAATGTTCAATAAGTTTGACAAACCTATGAAATTTTATAACCACCACTATATATTTGATTTCTAAAACACTTTATCCCCCAACACAACCCCCCAATTATTGCCAATCACTGACCCGATTTCTGTTTCTATAGCTTTGTTTTGCCCAGAAATTCATATAAATGGAATCCTACAGTGTGTAGCCTTTTGAGTCTGGTTTATTTCACTTAGCATAGTTTCTTAGATTCACATACATTGTTTGTGGGCTGGGGATTTAGCTTAGTGGTTCCTCCACCTGCCTTGCAAGTGAAAGGACTGGAGTTTGATCCCGGTACCCCCCTTTTTATATATGTTGTATGTATCAGTAATTTGTTCCTTTCTATTAGAGTGCTCTTACCCACAGGCGCAATAGTCAAAAGCGGCGTCCTTCCTTCAAGGGATGGGTGGGAGTTGCCTGCCACTCTCCCACAGCTCGGTAGAAATGACGGTGAGAATGTTCCAGAAGGACGTTCCAAGCCTGGCCTCTCAGCCTGTTGGTGCTTTCTTTGCACAAGCTCCCACACAGCAACCAGCCCAGTCCTCTGCCCACACTCCCCATTGGCCATCTCCTGCTCCAGACCCAAACCCACAGCAGCTCCCAGCAGCCTGACATCATTAGCATTCCAGCAACAGTTGGTGAGAGCTATTTTAGGATCACTCTCAGACTTTGGCTTTCCACTAACTCCAACTCACACATGACAGCGTTCTTAAACTCAGCGACTCTGGCTCAAGCTCAGAGTGGGAATAATGATAATAATCCAGTGCAGTTCCTGGCTCTTCCATCCTGTCCTGAGTTCAGATCAAGCACATGAATACGAAGCCAAAGCCAGACAAGGTACAGATCTGTCCTTACTGCCTTGATTCTCTACAAAAGCCCTTCTCACCCAGGTTCCTGGAGCCTCCTCCCTAGGACAGGCATCTCTGCTCTCCAGTCTCCTGGAGTTATGGCCGTCGTTCCTCCAGGAAGTCTTCCCTCATCTCCCAACGGCTCTGCTTGTTGCCTTCTCCTGCGCAAGTCTCTGAGACACCTCTGCCACTGCACTGACCACATGGAATTAAGCCTTCATGCATCTGCTTGTCCCTGTCCCCTAGACTGTAAGTCTTTCAAGGGCAAAGAGCTTCCTGTTTACCTCTTCCTGTCCCAGTGCTTGGCAGGCCATAGAGCCCCAAGAGTGCTTGCGGAATGAATAAAGAGCAGCACAAAAACAAACTTCCAAGCCAATCTCTTTTCTTGTCTGCCCAAGAGTGAATTAGCCCAAGAAGAACATGAGTTTGTCCTAGCTCTTTGGTACCAGGCCCAGAAGGGAGGCACCTTGGAGTCTACTTCTCCATCTTTGCACTGACAAACCTCAAAGTAGGTCAAGAAATGCTGGATTCCTCTGCCATGCACTACGAAACACCAACCAGACACTACTTGAAAAACATGAAAGGCTGCTTCAGACAGACATGACACTGGCTTGGCCTTCCACAGAGTTCCATAAGCTGCTCTCGCTGGCACCAGCAAACATAAATTAAATTTAGTGGGCTGAGATTCTTGATAGAAGTAGAGCAGGAACACAATATCTGCCCTTTAGGAAATGACATTCCTCAGATAATAAAACATGCTTGAATATTGAAATTTATTTATATTATACAAAATTGTATAGACTCTGGATGACAAGTGTGAGACATTGGATGATAAAAGTATCTGCCCACAAACAACTCTCTCTGTGGGACTCATCCACCATTTGAAGGAAAAAGTAAGAAATTTCTAGACCAGTACTGTTCAGAACTTCCTGTGATGGTGGAACTGCTCTATAAATCTGAGCTCTGTAAGGAAGTAGCTTCCAGCCCCAAATGACTTTCAAGCAAAATGTGGCTGCTATAACCGGGAAACTGAATTTTAAATGTAATTTAATTTTGATTAATCTAAATTTAAATATCCACAGGTGGCCAGTGGCTACCACATTAGACAACACAGCTCTAGCTCATGAAAAAATGTGAGCAATGTCCTGGTAATCTAAGTAGAGAAACTGGAAACTTGTAACACACTATGCATCCAATATAGTAATTGGCCTCAAGTTAAGTAACAATGATTATTGTTCTGTACTGAAGTTTTATTTAAAAATTTTTATAACTATGTTCATAAATGAAATTGTCTTCTAGTAGAATTTTTAAGGAATCTTCTTTATCAGGGTTAAGAATAGTACCTATTTAACTCACAGAATTAATTTCAGATCATGCCATCTTTCTAATTTTTCTAAGGAGAACTTTAATTTTTTATCAAACATTGTAGAAGCAAAATTATACAGAGAAGCAAAATTTTAAGTATTAAACTTATCTGTAATCTCACTACTGCAAAAGAAGCATATCATAATATCAAGTATGCTTGTCCCAGACTACTATTCAGATGCATTTCATATACATACATGCACACAAAATACTGATAACAAAGGCTCCAACTGTGTATAAAAGTTTGTTTTAATCAAGAATCTATTATGAACATCTTTTCACCTTAATAAATCATATTTCCACCACATAATAATTGAATTGTATTCCAAGGTATGAACCTGTCATAAACTCTTCAGTGAATTCCCTAATGGACACTTAGGTGGTTTCTAATATCTTACGTTTTAAGTAGTGCTGCATTAAGCATTGTATTGAGTGGGATTTCTTTTTTTTTTTTTTTTTTTTTCTACCATTGGGAGACACTATTGGCCAATCCACTGCTCTGAGGAGAAAAGGGAGATCTGGTACTAATTCCTATAGCTCCCTCCCCAAAGGACTATGGGTTAGCTGGGCCCTTGAACTAATTAGCACCACACCTGCTTGGAGATTCTGCCTATGGCTACTCTCCCTGGATTCCTGTAACAGCTCCCTCCCCTGGCACAGTGCTGCCCAGGTGGCCTGTAGCCCTACTGTTGGTCACCCCAGAATATTCCTCTATCGTTGTTGGTTCCCCTCAACCCTGCCCATGCCTTTATCAATGTCTTCCATTAAATTCTCCCCACTTTTCCAGTTAGTGTGCAGCCTGTTTCCTCCCAGGACCCAAATATAAACATCTCAACGCACTTTTTATTATCCCATGATTAATTTCTGAAAGTAGGATCATTTAATCATAAGGCATGCACATTTTAAGTACCGATCCAACACAGTTAACTTGTCTTCCAATACATCCCTCCTCCAGCAGTGTGTGAGCTTGTTGACCTGGGAAGGCCCTCTGTCTAATTGGGAATTATTGTTTCTCTTCATCTTTTTTGTGTGTGTGTGTGTGCATAGAAACCTTTCTGTAATACGGAGATTTATCCCATCCCTGTCAGGGACAGGGAGACAACTTGGGAATTGCTGCAGTCTGGTGATTCTTGCATAACTTTCTCAGTGCTTTTGTCTGCTGTTAGCAATAGGAATTCATTACAATTTTTGCTGATTTCATCTGACCCATTTGCTGGGGTGGGGTGGGGGGCTTCTCTTTCCTTCATGCACTTCAAAAGGTGAAACAGATTTTGTGTCCTGGTGTTCCTTGGGGGTTCTTGTCCCTCTGGATTTCAACTGTTTTCATTGTCCTGGGACCACATTTTTTTTATGGACCCTAAATTATCTGTAGATTATGTTGTTTGTCTTGTTTTTTGTTTTTTGTTTTTTTTGGTACTGGGGATCGAACTCTGGTCCTTGCGCTTTCGAGGCAGGTGCCAGAACCACTGAGCTAAATCCCTGGCCCCTATCTTTTTTATTATTATTATTCTCTTATGACTTCCTTCCCTGTGGCAGTACCTGGGCTGACATTCAAGTTTTGATTTACTTTTTGAAAATGTGATTAAATCTTGAGTATTTTTATCAAAGTAAAGCTCTATTCAACTGCAAATTCAATATGCATGTAATTACCAATGGAAGCAATTGGTAATCTCTCACATGTAACATGGAAAAGTACAAGTATTGAAGAGCCATATAAATAGTTTTTGTAGAACTGAATGTTCCACAGCTGCCATGTGCACTTGAAGCAAATGCTACACAATTTGTGAGTCAGTCCAGAACTACTGATTAGACACAAGGGAAAGAGAACAAGGACACTGTAAATTACCGGGGGAGCATTTCATTTTGCAATGCTGTCTGAAAGGCAGGACTTGATGAGTTAGTTTGCTTTTGCTAAATTATGTTTCTACCCCTGATATCCGCTATGAAGCCTCAACCCACAGGCTTGCAGAGCAGTCAGATGCAGTCACCTTTGGTTCTGAGGACATGGGAGAGACGTTGAAAAGCAGCTCCCTGCGGCCCAAGGGTGTTAATTACAAGAGGAGGCAGCTTGGCAAAGCAGAGGCCCAGGGCAAAGGCACTTCTGCCTGGGTCTAAGGGCAACATCGATCTGGCTCAAGTCTGTTCTGATAATTACATGAGCTGGGAGACCTAAAGGGCTTCCCATAGTATTTGTCTTACAGTAAAGCTGTAAGAAGTAAAAGCTACTGTAATTATAAATATAACAATTTCCATTCCTCCGGCTTATTTGGATCTCAAGATACAAAATAATTCAATTTGAGCCAGAGACAGTGGCACACACTTGTAATCCCAGCACTCAGGAGGCTGAGGCAGGAGGATTGTCATGAGTTCAAGGGCAGCCAGGGCTCATAATAAGTTCAAGGGTAGCCTGAACTGTATAGCAAGACCCTGTCTCAAAAAACAAAAAATAACAAAAAAAAATTGGGGCCTAAGGATGTAGCTCAATGGTAGAGCATGTGTTTAATATGCACAAGGCTCTAGGCTGAATTCTCAACATCATGTGTGTGTGCGTGCACATGGATATGTGTGATTATCATATCTATTCAGATATATACATTTTTTGTCATGTTTCTTCTGGTACTATTTGATGGAACCCTGGAGATAAATAATAGAGATAATAACTTTTTACAGTCTATTTGTATTTTCTGTGACAGTCCTGTTAGCACCATTTACTGTTTTAAAAATTAACTTTTTGGGGGAAAGGTTTTGAAATAGGGTCTTGCTATGTAGTTTATGCTGGTCTTGTACTCACTATGTGGCCCAGGCTGGCCTTGAACTTGCAGCAATCCTCCTGCCTCAGCCTCCTCTTTAATGCTGGGACTACAGGTGTGCGCCACCATACTCACTTCCTGGATATATTCTTGAATTTCAGGATGAACTGATTTTTTGTTTCCAATTTTAAGAAATGGGTCCTTATTACAACCCTGATTAAACTGCTAGTCTATTACTTACTCAGAAATTCCTTTTAATATTTAGTTGCATTTCTGTGCTGTGTGGCCCAGGTCAATAATTTTGCTGGTAATATTATAACCCTCTTACTTAAACCTTCTGTGTTTTGAATTTGATTTTTCAATTAACCCTGAGCATTTCATATAGGCTCTAGTGTAGATTTGATTATATCATTTTAGACACAAAACAATTAAGTATTATCTTAATCCCTATAGCACTTACAAATGCATTGAAATAGTTTTCATCTTAATCTACTTTCTTTCAGTGTTTTCACAAGGCTGCAAGCAGCCCTAACATTCTGCTTGGAATTTGTTTCTACAGTGGACTTTGCTCCTCATCTCTTTGTGCTACAACTTTTAAAATTAATTGTAAGCTTTTCCTCTTTTCCTCATTATTTTTTGAATGATTCTTCTCCCAACTTTTTTTCCAGTGCCAGCAACAGAACCCACGACCTCACACGTGTTCAGTAACCACTCTAGTCCTGAGCTACATGCCCAGCCTCACCTGATTTTTAAGGTTGTTTTGATTCAGATGATTTTATTAGTACTTTGTTATTTCCAAAATACATTACCAAAAAAAAGCTTGCACTCTCAGGTTACCCACTGTGCCTTAGAGACAAGCTGAGAAAATGTAAACTTATATTTAGGACATCTACTATGTTAGAAATGCTTAATTCATGAATTGCCTTGACATTAAAAGATAACAAAAGCAAAATCATTAATGTGTTGATTTTCTCAATGATATACTAATCCTATCAGTATCTCATTTATTTATTTATGTTGTTTTGAGACAGAATCTATGTAGTCCAGGTTGGCCTTCAACTATGCAGTCCTTCTGCCTCAGCCTCCCAAGTGCTGGAATTATAGATATGCACCACGGCTGACTGGCAGTATCTTTATAAGCATTGTTTAAGGTAAATGAACTATGAACCATGAAGTAAAATATAGCAGTGAGCTTCATTTGGTGAGACAAAAGTTTTTAAGGAAAATGTTTTTCATTCTTTTCTCTTAAATAAACAAACAAAGCCATAGTTTCCTAAATACTGCAACAGATGAGAACTCACTTCTTGTGCCACTTCCTTAGAAAGGATTCTTTTCCAACTGAGAACTTCTACCAGCAAAGAGCTATCATCATGGTCAGACTGAGATAAACCTATGTCTTGCTCATGAATTTCCAATTCATCACACTCGGTAGGCAGTGATTACCAGCATACCTACAACTATGTTGTTGTTTTTTCTTTTTTCCAGTACCATGTCACTAACCTTTTTTATTGTGTTATCAAAGCCACAAATGCAAGTAATTTTTTAAGAAATCAAGTCACCCCACAAGCACTTAACAAACATGCCGTATTTTAATTCTCCATCACGGTTCCTGCTCCATGCCTAGCACCCCCAGAGTCTCCTCAGCCAGACTCCAAAGTTCTCATCACAGCTCTTCCAACTGAGCAGATCCCATTCTAGGTGCCACAATCCAGTCACAGGATTATCAGTCCCAAGTGATTTGAACACTTCCATCCCTATTTTGATTTCATTTACTCTTCATGGGCTTTCTGAATATAAAGCATTTCTATTCTTCGTGGTGTTATATATTCGTGTTTCCTATTGGTGTAAACACACTGTCACAAGTATCAACCATCACTTTCTTATTTTCCAAGTGTCACTGTCTTCCCTCAACCTGCTTCTCCCTCCCCTTTTACATAATGTGTTTTCTTAATGGTCATTAATTTATTGTCTTACACTAAGAAAGTGGCAGATTCCTGCACTTGTTATGTTGGGTTCTGTCATAAAATCTAACCGTAAAATTATTTTTTAAATGTAATATATAGAACACAAAGTGAATTTGAGGCAAACCCTAGGAAATTCTTTGGTTATGAATTACCCAAAATTGATTAACAAATCCCCCCTAACTTGCATTTTGTCTAAAGTAGCAATTTTATATCATACAAATAAATTTCAAGTATGAAAAGTGCATTATTGTAATAATAACTCTGTGCAAGTCCAAAATTCTTAGCTTATAATAAAACTGTAAAGCTTAAAAAAATAAAAGTAAAACCATCAGTGCCAGCTATTGTAGAAGTCCAACATCTTCTTAACATGTTGCAGAGAAACATTTCTGGAAGCAACATGTAACTGAAAGGAAACTACTTGTTTTCACTACTTTACATTACTATCATCTTTAGTATTTTCTTTCAAATAGAAATTCACACCCTTTATCAGGACTTTTTTTTTGTTTTTTGAGACAGGGTCTCACTATGTAGTTGAGACTGACCTGGAACTCACTATGTAGCTCAAGCTGGTCTTGAACTCACAGCGATCCTCCTGCCTCAGCCTCCCGAGTGGCTGGGATTACAGGCGTGTGCCACCACGCCGGGCCTATCATGTTACTCTTGAGTCAGCCATTCTGTGCAGTTACCACTTGCATTGCATTTCCAAAATCATCTTCTTCATGTGTTCTCTTTAAACTGCCTGTGGTACCAGAATGAACAGATAAGGACCTTTCCATTTGGAGTGGCGACATCATCTGTATTGTTAATTTTGCTAGGGAGATGGCTTCATATTCCTGAAGCTGATGGACAAATCCAGCATTAGGATTAATACACAATATTCTTTCCTGCACACAAGCAAATGCATCTCTGTACTTCATCCCAAAGTTTTCCATAATGTATGCAGTAACAAAGACATCACTTCTGGAGAGCCCTGCATTTCCCTGCACAAGAACTTTTCCTCCAGTTTGTAAGCGCTCATCAATAAACTCCTTCGTCATAGGGACAAGTCGTATTATATTTTCCAGTGGATTATCTGCAATATCCAAGACTAAATATCTAAACAGTTGCTGAAAATTTGCTTTAATAAAATTTGCTTTGATATTTTGTCGTATGCAAATTATGAGTTATTCCATGTTTCTATAATATAGGCAGCTTGCTTTTCACAGCAGAATAAAGGCCTAAGAACCATCCAGGTAGAACTTCCTGCGTCTCCCGTCTCGTAGGGCAGGTACACTCCTCGGCGTCCTCCTTGCACTGTGGGATCGAGGGGACTCCGGCTTCACGTCCTCCGTGGCCCGGCCGGGGAGAGAGCAGGGTTGGTGGGGAGCTCACGCCGGCCGACCCGCGGCTGCCAAAAGGAGGGCTGGCGGGCGAGGGCGGAGGGTTTTTTTTGGTGGCGCCGGCAGCCACGCCCGGGAAGAGAAGGGTTGGGCGGCTCCTGCCTGGCCGCCTGCTGCCCCCACGACCGAGTCTCCGCGCCCCTGGGACACCCAGGATCCCACCATGATGTTTACTTCCTCTCCACCGATACTCCAGACTGGTTCATCAGCATTTCTTCTACCCCAGCGCACCCTCCAGCCCCTCCATCCGTGCTTTCGCTCTGCCTCTGGTTTATCCAGACAGCAGATATTTTTTCCCATTGTTCATTGGTACATTTTAGGTATACAATAGTTCATTCATCACTGGGGTCTTGTACCTTTACATGATGTATCTTGGTTATTTGTTCCCCATTCCCCTGCCTTCCTTTCACCCCTTCTACCTTTCCCTGTTTCCATTTTTTCCTTTTCTCCAGACAGCAGATACTGCTGTCTCTCTGCCCCACATAGGTTTCTCAGGGAAACGCCTTCCTCCCTCAGAACTGTTAACTATACCACAGTTGTATGTCTCAAATACAACACATGGCATCTCTAGCTTCAGACTATTTGGTCCCTATACAATCTTAAAATGAGTTTAATTTTCTGGGAACAAAGTCCAGTTTCACTGATGGCAAAATGGCTCACAGGAATTCCACGTTCCATTCAAAATTACACGATAAACTGAGACAGAGCCAGAACTGAAACTCGAAACCCAGGCCCGTGCTCTCGTGTGTAAGACCAAAGTCCCCCTACCTGCTCATGGCGCCAGTAGCAAGTCTGTGCTGTGCGCGGGAGTTGGCTTTCCTTCGTCTTTACCAAGTCTGCCCTAGCAAGAGCGACAAGCAGAAGTGTACACAATCCACAGGAAGCCAAAGGATTCTCAGGGTTCTACCAGGCTTTGGTTTGATTCTTTGAATGAGAAAAAAATCTTCAATGTATGTCTAACTGGAGTTAGGGAATTTGCTAAAACATTTCTATCAGTACTATTGAAAGTAATTATTTCCCTAAATTGTCAGCAGAACTGAGAAGTATTTTGGTTTTGTTGTGTGGTATTGAATGGAGCTGAGAATTGAACCCAGGGCCTCATACCTGTTAGGCAAGCACTCTACCACTGAGACACACCCTGGTCCTGAGAGATATTTATTCTGGTTTTCTTTACCCTGTTAGAAATATTAAGAATGTTTAGAAAACCCCCTACCTCTTTTTTAATGGAAGGGGAAGTGTGTAGAATAATATCAGGATGCCAAAGCAATGAAATGCAGTAGGCAACGTCTGACTATATCCTCATCATATATGAGGTAAGTTCGACTCAGCTGAGGTTGTATTAGTCAGCTTTTTGTTGCTGTGATAAAATATCAGAGAAAATCAACTGAGCTCAAGGAATTTTCCTGCCTCAGCCTCCCAAGTAGCTGGAAATACAGGTGCATGTCATTGTGCTGAGCCAAACTCCTTTCCTTTTTATAGCTTTGCAGCTAAAACTGGACTAGGCAGTGCATAACCAGGACATTGTTCATTCTCGTTTTCTAATCTGATTAAAATAATGAAATTTAAAACATACACACACTTACATATTTGATTGCAAGGTAGATAAGTCAGTTTTATTACCATAACAAGCTAGCTGCTTTTTGTTTATTTGTTGTCATATCGTTTTTGGTGACAGGGTTTCACTACATAGCTCAAACTCTCAACAATTCTCCCACCTCAGCCTCCCTAGTGCTGGGCTTACAGGTGTGATAGCCAACCTCATAAAGCAAAGAGATTTATTTAGCTCACAGATCTAGAGGACTGAGGTACTAGTATCAGCTCAGATCTGAAGACCCTAGCCCAAAGGCCCCAAGCCCACAGCAGCCAAGTGCAGGAGGAAGAGATTACATCTGACAGCCAAGCAGCCAGAAAGAGATGGGGACCCACAATCCCTCAGGACAAGGATGTCAGACCAGGGGCCTGGGGCTCCACATTATGTGCTGACACTGCTACTCTGCAGACCAAACTTCCCACACAAGGGACCCTTCAGGACGAACACACACCACATCCAGACCATCAAGGACATTCAGCCCAGTCTCGGGCACTGTGTTTCAGCCGTGCTGTTTGTCTTTGTTCTTGTTATTGGCTTGATTTTGCCTCCATTTTGCATTTTCATGAGGCAAATCACACTTGATTTTATCTGGCTTTCTGTAATAACTTAGGAAGCAGCATCCTTTTTTAAGTTATCCTTAAGGTCATCAAATATATTCTTAAATGTATACATCTCCGTTTATTGAAGCCAAAAGAATGTTTTAAAAATTCATATGTCAATAAAAACATTTTGTGAGCTTTTCCTATGTGCGTGTGTGCACATACACACACACACAACCCCTCCCAAGCTCTGCTGACCCTGTCAGGGATTATAAACCCTCACCTGAAGGTGTCAGCCTTCCTCTTCTTCACCACAAGCCTCTGTTGCTCATGAAAGGTGGCTGCACAGGTCCCAGCTGCACTGCATACCCTAGAAACCCCTCGGCTCCAGGCAAACGTACAGAGGTGGTCATCCTGGCCTATGCCACACCCTGCCTGCAGGATGGTCCTCTCTGCCACTCACCTGGCCTTGTCTGATTTAGGCACCCAGTGCTGGTCCACGACCTCCAGGAGAAAGCAGAACTCCACAGTATTTCTGTTGACTTCCACTGACAACACAATGAAGTGTTTGCCACATCTTGTCTGAGGCAATAAAGTAAAACATCAGACACAATTCCACAGCATCCTGAAGGGACTGGACCCAAAGGCAGCCTCCAGCTTCCCTGAGAGTGTCACTGAGTGGGTGACCCTCGTCTCAGTCCATTTTTCTGTTGCTAGTAATACAATACCACTGATTAGGCAAACTATACAGAAGTTAGTTTGTACTCTGGTTCTGGTTCGTGGTTGAGCAGTGGCATGTGGTAGCATTCTGGTTGGCACAATGCTGAGGCAGCACAGGGTATCACATGGCAAGAGGGCAAGGAAGACCCAGCCAGTAGACCCTCTCTCCAGATAACCCATCAGCCCATGATGTGCATGAACAGGTTAACGCACACTCCTGAGCGCCAAGCCCTAATCGCCTTTTTTCTTTTTTGTACCGGGGATCGAATTCGGGTCCTTGCGCTTGTGAGGCAGGCGGCAGAACCATTGAGCTAAATCCCCAGCCCAATTGCTATTTTTTAAAAAACCAACATGGGGTCTTGTTATGTTGCTCAGGCTAGCCTCAAATTCAACACCCTCCTGCTTCAGCCTCTCAGTAACTGGGATTACAGGTATGTGCCACTACACACAGCATGAATCACGTCTAAAAGGTCCCACCTCGTCCCAACTCTTAGTATTGCAAAATGGGGATTAGATCTCAACACAAGTTTCTCAGAGGGGACTAATGATATTCTTGAGTGTGTGTGTGTGTGTGTGTGTGTGTGTGTGTGTGTACCGAGGATCAAACTCGGGTCCTTGAGCTTGCAAGGCAGGTGGCAGAACCACTGAGCTAAATCCCCAGCCCTTCCATATTCTAACCATAGCAACTGCACTGTTAAACCCACAGCCCCTTTCCTTGGCACTGTCCTCTCCATGACATTAAGCTTGGCACATGACCTGCAGTGCCGCTCCATGGAGGGTTAAATGTGCCCACTCTGTCAAGCACAGGGTGGCCACACTACCAGCTTTGATGAACAAAACATGAACGAAGGCTCTGCAAATCTGTGGTGGCCCTCAGCGAGGACACTGGTGTAGTCCAGACACGACCTGTCAACCTAGGTCCCAAGGAGAAAATGACAAGTGTCAGTGCAGAAACCAACCATAGTGAACACATAAGAAATGCACCGCTCCCAGTTATGGGACTTGGGCATCGTGTACTGTTGCATCTGGAGCCATCTCTCCACTGTGTGTGAGAGCTGAAGGCTGTAGGGCTCTGATTTGGGCAGGCCAGGTTCTTCGATCTTACCTGCACAGGAGGAGGCAGAAGGCAGCTGTGCTGTCAGAGATGTGCTGGGGTAGATTCTGTCATCCCAACACCTGACACCTGATGGACACCTGACACCTGACAGAGCAGTCTGCCCATGAAACCTGTGGCCTCCCCTCCCAGTGTCTTTTTTCCAAAGCAGGACCTATCACAGCCACTGGTTACTCATGCAGAGATCAGGAATCCAACTGCACCTGACTCCCTGCTGTCTCCCCTCTTAGGAGGGGGTGACTTCTCTGTCTGAGTGTGCACAGGGACTTGGGGCTGGAGACAGGAGGACTAAAAGAAGCAAGCAAGACGCAGGTGTCAAGGCCCAACTCTGGTGAGGCTGAGGGGCACCATGAACATAGAGAAACACATCAATAAGGAAAAGCCCAGGTTAGCTGCTTTATGACAGTACCTGCACGTGTTTTCTGGCTTGATTTTATGGAAAAATATTCCTAAAGAATAATAAAAAATATTAAAATGCAATGAAACATTATTTTTAAAATAAAAATGACATACAAGTCAATCAAAAATCCCAAATACTTATAATAAAATACCTGGCCATATATTAAATAACTACATACATACATAAAATAAATTTTATTAATGCTTGTATAGACGTATATCTAGCAGGAAAAATATACATTACAAGAATATAGTCAGAGTTTATCTCAGGAGTTGAAAGATGTTTTAATCTTATGAAAATCTTTAATGTAAGTAATCATATTCAGTGACTTAAATGACAAAAATATGATTATAGTAAAAGACACCAATTCATTTTATCAAGCTTTTAGCTTCCAAAAAGTAATAGATGCTATTTCTCTTATTTTAAAAAAGAAAACTCATCTAAAACCAACAATTGAATTCATACTTAATGAAGAAATATCAAAAAATATTTTACATTTTGTATTTAACACAAAGCAATAGAAACACATAAGAAAAATCATTTTTCAGCTATGATTTTATATTTAGAAAAAAAAATAGGCCATTAACAACTATTCACCAAAAAATACTTTAAAAATTAACTAAAGACTGTAGCTATACAGGTATATAAAACTCAAGAAGGAACTGACACAAGGATTTATAAAACCTAGACAAAATGAGAACAAAAGAAAATGAAAAAAAACAATAGGAAACATCAATAATGAAGACAATCCATAATGGAAATAGTCAGAAGTCTTAAAGAGTTAATTTTAGACCAAGATAATCAAAGTGAAGCAATGAAAACGATATTTACCTTATATAATACACTTGTTAGCAGAAAAAAAACTTGTGTTTTTTTGGGGGGTACCGGGGATTGAACTCGGGTCCTTGCACTTGCAAGGCAGGCCACTGAACTGCTGAGCTAAGTCCCCAGCCCGAGAAAAAACATTTTGGAATATTTCAAAAAGTAGAGAGAGAAGACCAAACAAACAATATGATACTTATTCAAACAGATTCAAATGCAGAATTTAATTTACTATGTGGCAAAAATATCTTACTTCCAAGAGTTAGAATTACCAAAAAGAACAGGTAATGTTTTTGCTTAAAGCCAGGGCATAAAAACAGAAAGCACCTCAGTGTAATGTACTAAGTACAGAGCTAGCACCATACAAGCTCTGTACGAGCCACCTCGCTAGCAGTATGGAAAGGCTAGCCAGTATTATGAAGATTACAATTTTGCCAGATATTAAACTAGGCAGAGAGAAGGAGGGATGGCACTTATGAAAGAGGAAGATCGTTCATAGATACAAAGTCGTCCTAAGATAAAGCAGCACCTTCCCAGAATTCCATGAGAGTCAATACAATAATACTGGTCTGCATTTTAACAGCTCAATTAAAAGTATTTTAAACTGAGAAGCTTCCTCATAAAAATCCTGATTTCTGGCTTCTTTAGAAAACTCAAAACAATAGAGCAAACTGGAACCCAGGAGGAGGTGCCCCCGGTTAGGTGTTAGGTGCTACAGCACTTCCTCCTTGTTCCCGTTCCTCTTCCATCCAGTCTACTTCACCCATTTAACTCACCTTTCTGGTCCCTGTAGGATTTGAGTTTATGACTCTTGCCCTCCACATGGAGACCAATGAATCAACAGGAAAAAAAAGCAGCATGATTAGGTTTGGTTTTAAAAGTTCAAGCAGACAGCTGGATGGAAGGCAGAAGAGAAGGATCATGAGGCCCCGCCAAGGTTCCGAGTTCGATACCCAGTATCAAAAAAAAGAAAGAGACCCAGGAAATCCACAAACCCTTATCTTACTGCAAACTGAGGCCAGCTACCACCTCCTACAAAAACCTCCCACAGAAGAAAATGTGACACGCTGAGTTAGACACCAGTTAGGGTATACCAGAGAGTGTGGGTAAACCAAAGAGGAAGGGAAGCTGAGCCGTAAGGGTGCCTCCATTCTTACTGGTAGTTTGGTACTGAGCAAGAGTGCCTTGCTAAGCCACCCCACTCCCTGGAGGCCTGCCCTCCAGAACCAGGTAACTAATCAGAGACAAGAAGAGGGCTGGGGTTATAGCTCAGTGGTGTAGCACCTGCCTGGCAAGCATGAGGCCCTGAATTTGATTCCAGTACAAAAAAAAAAAAAAAAGAACAGCCTGAGGAAATAAGGAAATAGTGATGTTGGTTTTGAGATCTGCAGAACTGAGAAGCACAGGCAGGCATTATCCATACCACTGGCTGCAAGGAGATGCCCGCCTGTGTGAGCGCCCATCAGCTGCCTTTAAAAACTAAACCATCCCTAAAGAGCTTCCCAGCAATACAGGCTGTGTGAGGCCCCTGTCTTCCAGTCTTGGCTGGCTTCCTCCCCTTCAGCACCTGATCTCTCAACTTAACTTCCGGTCCTGGGGTTAGCAGCAGACTTGGTCAGGGAAGCAAAGGGCCAGAGAAGGGTAAGCATTCGAGAAGTTTCTTGGGGGCAAACCCCCCCCTCCAACCCAGGGTAACCAATCTGACACAATGAGTGGGAGAAAGAAAGGTACAGGACAGTTTGCTGTTTTTTGGCTTGTTGTTGGCCAAATGACTTGATGCCGGTAGCAGCCAAAAGAACAGGAAATAAAAGGTGAAAGGATATTGTAGGAAAATCAGTATTTCACTATTTCAATCTAGAATATATACATTTGTAGAGTCTTGCTTGAGACTTGCAGCTTTCTATCACAAGCCCAGTAAACAGCCAGACATCACCTCTGGCTCTAAAATGTAATTCTCTAATGGAGGCATCAAGAGAGGAAAGTAAAAGAGAGATACAAAGGAATGATTACATAAAACAATTTTATAAACCAAACACCTATAAATACAATTATAGAGGGCCAATAACTTCATACACAAGAAAACAATTTTAAGATATAAAAAAAGAACACAATAATGTAAAATTCCACTGTCTTTCAATGTAAAAGGACATACACCTCTGCCCTATGCAGATTCCATTAAAGGTTTAAGATGGCTTACAACAAGAAATATACACAGTAAAATGATAAGGTATAAATACTACTAATAATAAAATGTGAAAATACTGTTCAAAAATGTTAGCACCAAAGCTGGGGGAGGGGATATAACCCAGTGGTAATAAGGCACTTGATCCCTAGAGCTGTAAAAAATTTTTTTAAAAGATCAGAACTAGAAAAAGAGAGCAGAGAAGGAGGAGGAGAAAGAAGAGGAGGAACAAAATTTGCAGACCATAAAGGCTTTCAGAAATACTATTGTTGACAACTAAAGTAAAAAGATCACTGGCAGTTGCATGACTCTTACCGTCCACTAGGAGAAAATACATGCTCACTTTAAAAAGGACAGTTCTGTTTCTCCCAACAGAAAAGAACATTTCATGATAAAAATTTCTGTAAATGACGGGCTGGGGATTTAGCTCAGTGGTTCCACCACCTGCCTCACAAGCACAAGGGCCCAAGTTCAATCTCTGGTGCAAAAAAAAAAAAAAATCTCTAAATTATATAAACCCACCTATACAAAAAGTTACTATATTGTCCCTATTTCTTAAATTTCACATCACAGCAAATTTTTTTTTTTTTTAAAAAGAACTTTATCGAGCCGGGCATGGTGGCACAGGCCTGTAATCCCAGCACTTGGGAGGCTGAGGCAGGAGGATCGCTGTGAGTTCAAGACCAGCCTGGGCTACATAATGAGTTCAAGGTCAGTCTCAACTACGTAGAGAGACCCTGTCTCAAAAAGCCAAAAAATAAAAAATAAAAAAAAAGAACTTTACCTAATGACATTTGAGACTACTATGACAAGCACAGCAGAGTATTTCAACATCGGCTGTTCTGTGGCACCCTCAGTACAAACAAAGAACTGCACATCTCTGTGTAGCCAGAGGCAGACGGCAGCGTGTGTGGGCAGAGAGGAAGGAGGGAGGGAGGAGAAGTCAGCGTGACACAGGTGAAGTATATAGATTTCTGGGGATCCGTCCCCACCCACGAAAAGAACAGATACAATGTAGAGGAATGGATGGTATTCTCATCCTTACAACTACAGCAGGTGGGCTTTGGTAAAAGTTCCACAAAAGATGACAAGTGGACAGGTGAGGTAGAAGTCTCTGCTGAGAGCTGGGCATGGTGGCTCATGCCTGTAATCCCAGCACTCAGGAGGCTGAGGCAGGAGGATCGCTGTGAGTTCGAGACCAGCCCGGGCTACACAGTGAGTTTCAGGTCAGTCTCAACTACATAGTGAGACCCTGTCTAACCCCCCGCAAAAAAAAGCAACAAAGAAAAAAACAAGAAATCTGCTGAGAACCCCAAGACTATTTCCTCTGTGGTGTTGGTTGAGGATGAATCTCCAAAGTGTGGCTTTCCAAGGCATAGTGTAGTTGCCCCCCTTCTGTGGATATTAAAGGGCAGCCTGCATCAGCACTCTGGGAGACTTAGCAATAATAAAAGGCCCTGTGTAGAATCAGATACATACGGAACACAGCTGCAAGCAATATTAAGAAGATGGTGTTAGCACCCATAAGCTAAGCAAAAGTAAAGAACAGTTTCAATACTGTGCAGATTTTATAAAAAGTTATATTTAAAATTTGTTAGAATTGAATTATGCCAGAATAAGGGAGGTAAACTAGGATATAACAATGTGTATGTGCAAAAAAACAAGGTAATTGTATAAATGTGAATAAAGATAGAAAGCTGAAACACTTCAGTAAAAACCCGTGTACAAAGTGTACACACCCCACAATTATCACAATGGAAACTGTGTGTGCAGATGGCGGGACCAGAGGTCTGGGGAAACCAGCCCTGTGCGAAGCTACACTTCGAGGCTTTGCAGTTAAATTTTACCCTCTTCTTTGTCTGCTCGGCATCCAACCTCATGCCCAAACACCCATCCTCAATGCTCCCCTCCCAATCCACATTTGAGGTGCGTATCATCACGAGCATCAGCAACGGACTCCGGGATGGACGGCCGAGAACGAGCCCAGCAGAAGCCTTGCTTTCAGATGCTCCCAGATGGACAGTGCTCCTCACTGCTTCAGTGCCCTTTAGGGGTTACCTGGGCAGGGCCCCGTGCACAACTGAGCAGCGACAGGGACAGGAGGCCGGGCTTCTGCAGTGCTGGCTGTGCAGGCTCCTTGCTTGTCAGGGCTTTGTGGATGCTCAGGGGCAGCAGATGAGTCATCTAAGAGGAAGAAGAAAGGGATGAGCTTTCCGAAGAAAGCCTGTGCTCACCCATTTGTCATTTCACTCATACAAGACTCCTCAAGCCCTGGGCTTAGTTTGTGTCTTCTGGATTGAAACACATAACTGACATATTTATTACAATTGATATATTGAAAACGTAACAATAGCAAGCAGAAAGTCACTTTCAGACTTGGGAGAGACCACGTGATCACAGCGGCAGCCCCCAACACAGAATTAGGGTCCCTGACCCTACTGAGGGCCCCTCAACAGCCGCTGGCACTGGTCTAGGCAGAGCCCTCCCCAACTCCAAATCTAAAGTTTTCCACTAACACCCCAGCACAAGAGAACTCTATGTTAAGAACTTACAGCCTCTGACTTTGGTAATTTAGTTTTCTTTTTTGTTGTTATTTGTTTGTTTGAGACAAGGTCTTGCTGCTGGTTCAGGGTGGCCTCAAGCTCACTGGGATCCTCCTCCTGCCTCAGCCTCCTGAGTGCTGGGATTACAGGTGTGCACCACCGCACTGGCTGAAGGTAGTTTAGTTTTCTTGACAGAAATTCTCCTAAACGTACCACTCACAGGAAAAAATTTAATGAAATAATTAAAAGAACACCAAACCACACTTTGTAAGCCTTGAAAAGTGTCAGAGGGTGAGAGTATACCTCATAGAGCAACATGTGCCTCGAATGCTCAAGGCCCTGGGTTCAATCCCCGTCACACGCACATACACACAGAGAGCAATATGAGAAGATATCATGATGTTGTACAGAGTGAAAATGTAAGATACAAAACTAATGCTATTTGAAACACAGTCAGATTAGTATTTGCATAGGAACAGGACTGAAGCGCAGTAAAATAACTGTTGTGGATTACAGTGAGGAGAATCAGATTCAATTTTTATTTCTAGTCTCTTTTTAAATTTTTCAGTAATATGGTTGAAATTACTTAAAAGAGAAAAAAGTGCCAGGTATCACAGTGCACACCTGTAATCCTGGCATTCTGGGAGGCTGAGGCAGGAGGACTGCATGCTCTGTTTCATCTTGGATGACTTAACAAGACCCTGTCTCAAAATTAAAAATTAAAAAAGGGCTGGGGATGTAGCTTCGTGCAAAGGCCTTGCTTTCTGCAGTCCGCCCCCCAAAAAATAAAAAAAACTTTAATAAAAGAACGCTATCCCTCCCTTACCCTTACCGTGCCACTTGCTACCCCATCTCCCTTCGCTTTTCCCAACTGTTCAAACTGTCCCACTTGCATCCTGACCTCCAAAGTGCCCAGGAGCTACACTGTTCAAACACCTAGGCAGAGCCTGTAAACTGGCAAGGTCTTCCCTTCTTTGGTTAAAAACCACGATTCTATGAAGCAAAATGTTGACTTTTCCACTCTTCCCACAGACAAAGCTGCAGGTAACACAGGAGGTCCTTTCTGCTCGGACTCCTGCAGCATCTCAAAACCACTCCACCGTGGACCACCACATCTACCTCAGCCATGCCCACCTTTACGTTCAAGCCTCTCGTGCAGACTCTCGTGCTTGTAGGTAGCAATGATCTGAAAATTCACGACACTTGGGATGCTCAGCCCTTGGTCCTGCAGCAGGTTCAGGGAGGTGGCATAAATGAGCTGATGGGACCGTTTGCAGGTTTGGAGTCTGCACTCCCCCCTGACAAAGGCTCTGCAGACGTGAAATTTGTTGCACTTGTCTTTGAGGTTGCAGTAACCGTAGAGGGGGTCGCCGCCTTTGTTGTACAGCAGACAAACCTGTAGGAAAGGAGGCAGCCCTTGAAAACTAGCTTTCATTGCATCTTTCAATCCCATAAACTACAGCTTCTCTAATTAAAGTGCACATTAAAGGCATCCTTTTGTTAATGTTTTAATCGACACGTTTATGGCTTACAGTGTGGCATTTTGATACACACCTGCAATGTGTATACACTGTGGACAGCTCAGACATACTAAATGGTGATTTTAAAAAATATAGTATGTGTTTAAATTTTTAAAATTAAGCAGGGCATGGAGGCACATGTCTATAATGCCAGCCCTTGGGAGACTGAGGCAAGAGGATAGCAGTGAGTTCAAGGCCAGCCTGGGCTATGTAGCAAGACCCTGTCTCAAAAAAAAAAAAAATTAATTATTTTAGTAAAAGACACAATGCCAGGCCGGAGATGTAGCTTAGTGGTGCCACCACCTGTCTAACAAGCACAAGGCCCCGGATTTGATCCCTGGCATCAAAAAAAAAAAGACACATTCCAGTAATTCCCTTCAAAATATTTCTGCTTGCTGCAAACACACTTATCCCTTCATTCTTGTCAATTTTTGAAAGAGTTCTGGAAGTGTTCTTTTGTGCGTCTTTGGTTGTGCTCTCCTGGCTACCTAAATGCACTGAATAAATCAATTCAAAACATTTACTTTCATTTTTTTTCCAGTTCTGGGGATTGAACTCAAATCTTTGCGCTTGCAAGACAGGCTAAATTCCCAGCCCCAAACCGTTTACTTTGTATGATCATTTGACTTTGGAGAAGAGCTGGAAGTCGCATGGAGATAGATCTGGTGAATACGGTGGAAGAGGACCCACCATCATGTTTTTATGAGCCTGCTTTCTGCTGAATGGCACTCAGCAGCAGCATTCACGGGTTTTTTTGTTTTGGGGTTTTTTTGTTTGTTTGTTTGTTTGTTTGTTTATACCTAAAGACACTCAGTCAAGAGGACTTTCAGACTTGGTTTAAAAAGTGGTATGAGCAGGGGCATGGTGGTGGTAATCCCAGCACTGGACAAGCAGAGGCAGGAGGATTTGTATGAGCTCAAGGCCAGCCTGGGCTACACAGTAAGTTCAGGGTCAGCCTGAGCTACATGAGAAGGACCTGTCCCAATAAACCAAAGAAAGAGAGAGGGAAGGAGGGAAGGAGGGAAGAAGAGAGGAGCAGAGGGAGAGAGAAAGGGGACAAGAATAATGAAGTAAGTGTGTTAGAATTAAAGGGGAATAGGGACCAGGGATTTAGCTCAGTGGTTCTACCGCTTCCCTTGCAAGCACAAGGTCCTGGAGCTCGATTCCAGCACCAAAAACATAAAAGAAAATAAAGAAGTACAGGGGAATATTCTGAATCAATGACAATGCATCTTTTACTGCAAGAAATCTATTTTAAAACTTAAATGTCTGTCACGTATTTCCATCATACCTAGTAATTTCTTATGTCAGGAACATTCCAAATCTTCTTAGCTATTTTGAAACATTTAATTCGTTGTCCACCACAGCTGGCCAACTGTGCTACAGAACATTGGCAGTGAGCCTTCACAGCCACCTGCATTCCTCGCATCCCTGTACAGTAACCAACCTCTCTCCGTCTCTCCCTTTCCTCCACCTGTCCCAGACTATGGAACATCGCATCATCCACTATAAAGAATAGTAACCAGGACCAGGGATTTAGCTCAGTGGTTCCACCGCCTGCCTCGCAAGCACAAGGACCTGAGTTGGATCCCCAGTACCAAAAAAAAAAAAAAAAAAAAAAAGAATAGTAACCCACACTGTTCCTGCCTCACAAGTTCAAGGTCCTGAGTTCAATCCCCAGTATGGACAAAAAAAAAAAGAATAGTAACCCCTCTCCTATTCTCTTCACACAGAAGAGAAAACACACGGTACTTGTCCTTCTGGGCCCGAGTTACCCAACACCATGTCCTCCGGTTCCATGCTGCTGCAAATGACAGGTTATTCTTTTTCATAGCTGAATGATATTCCACTGTAGAAATAAATATACTACATTTTCTTTATCCACTCATCCATCAATGCTTATCTAGGTCAACTCTGTATGTTGGCTATTGTGAATAAAGCTGCAGTAAAACATGTGGGGCAGATGTCTCTTCGACACAGTAACTTCAGTTTCCTTAGGTATATATACCCAGTAACGGGAATGCTGGGCCATATGGTAGATCTTTTTTTTTTTTTTTTTTTTTTTTTTTTTTTTTTTTTTTTTTTTTTTGAGAACCTGCCATACTGTTTCCACAATGGTTATACTACTTTGCAGTCCCACCAATTAGGTAAGGGAGTTCCTCTTTCTTTGTACCATCACGGGCATTTGTTATTTTTGATAACAGCCACTCTAACCAGACTGAGGAGATACCTCGTGGTGATCTTGATGTGCATTTCCCTAATGTAAATGGCATCTTCCGATCATCGATGGCTGTTAAAATCTTGGGGTGAAAGGCCAACGGCTGATACAGAATACTAACGCCCCCATCACCCCAGCTGCTGTGGCACTGGCTGCTAACAATCCAGACCTTACACCCTAAAGTGACCTGCTCTCCTCCCTAAAGCCTAGAGCCAGTGCGGGACTTATGTGGATGCACAAAAGACTGGCCTCAGCCTTAGGTTCCAGCAGTTCTTGAGTGCAGTTTTAACCCCACAGCTAAGTCAAGGCCAGACTTTACCTTCTTTGTACTTTCCTTCCCTACATCCTGCTTCTCCCTTTCCCCGCCAGATCTCACTGAAAAGCCCTCCCTCAGTGAGGCACATAAACCTAAACCTCACCTCAGGCTCTACCTCCAACAAAAGCAATCCTCACAGGAGCACTAATGTATCGCTTCTGCTCTAGGCAAGGGTCATGAGGAACAGCCAAGGTGAATTGGTCTGCCCCAGGACTGCCAAGGACGTCTGCACAGGGGACTCCATAATGACACAGCAGGCTGTCCTCTTGAAACAACCTCGTTCCACAGAAAGATGGTGTCTTGTGTGAGAAACCCAAAGTCTAAATGGGGGACAGATGTTAGGAAGTAGGAAGAACTTGTTCAATGGGGAAGGGGACCAAAGGATGGGGGAAGGGGAAGAGAAAGAAGGGAAAGGGAATTTTTAAAAAAGAATAGAAGGAAAAAATGGAAAACAGAGCTTTTGAGAGCTTTTGGGGGGGTTACTGGGGATCGACCTCAGGACCTTGCATTTGCAAGGCAGATGCAGCACCACTGAGCTAAATTTCTGACCAGAAAACAAGAGTTTTGTAAATGGGAAGAGAAAGAAAGGCTGCAGGGAGGGGAGGGGAATGGGGAAGAAAAGAATTCAGATATATGATGTACACATACAAACTCCCCATGATGAATGTGATCATGACATATGGCAATAATACACAAATAAATAAATAAAAATAAAAACAAGCCAGGTGTAGTGGCGCACACCTGTAATCCCAGCACTCGGGAGGCTGAGGCAGGAGGATCACTTTGAGTTTGAGACCAGCCTGGGCTACACAGTGAGTTCCAGGTCAGTCTCAACTACACAGTGAGACCCTGTCTCAAAAAACAAAACAAAACAAAAACAACAACAAAAAACAAAAATAAAAACCAAAAAGACTGAGTACGTAGCTCACTTTGAAGGACCTGAGTTCAATATCACCACCACCACCACAAAAAATATCTAGCCATCTATCTATCTATACACACACACTCACACACACACACACACATATACACACACGATTTTTTTTCAATTGTAAAGCATCTTGGAAAAATAAAATTTAATCTCTGGCTTCCCATTTACCAGAAAGAAAGGGGGAGGGCTGGGGATTTAGCTCAGTGGTTCCACCGCCTGCCTTGCAAGCGCAAGGTCCCAAGTTCTATCCACAGTACCAAAAAAGAAAAAGAAAAAATAAAGGCAGAGAGGAGAGAGACTGCCTTTGTCTAATGATGTGATATAACAGGAAATACAGTTGCCTAGGTTTCACCATAAAAGTCTGACATTCCCAAAGTCTCTCAGTCCCAGGCCAATGGGGATGTTTAGTCACCTAACAATGTACCACCTTTAAAAAAATTTTTTGCTGTAAAATCAGGCAATTCAATCAAACCTCTAGATCATCTTATGATATATTCAGGGGGTAGCAGTGTTAAATGATATGACAACTATGTCATATGTGACAAAGATTAAATGAAACAAGAATGCAATCGGTGAAATGTAAAATGCTGGCAATTCTACAGGAAAAAGATAATTTCCTTTAAAACCAAATCACATTCCATCTATAATTGTAATGCCAACTTTCTAAAACGAACTCTTAATTTTAATGCAATTTCAACCCTTTTATGAAATAGTTCTAGGAATTTAAATGAGTCTAGAGCTTATCTGAAAAAGAAAACAAAAACTAATTAAACAGAAAATGAAGAGTAATGGGCAGAGGGACTTACATAGTAAAATATAAACTATTTTCCTTAAGCAGCAGGAGATTCAATCAAGACTACACAAGAAGGGGCTGGGGATGTAGCTCAGTGGTGCTGCGCCTGCCTGGCGAGCTCAAAGTCCTGAGACAGATCCCCGCTATGGGGGAGAGGGGAATACACAGAAGATCAAGGAGAATAGGTCCTAAACCCAGGACAAAAATGGTAATGCTCTGTTCCCTTAAGAGATCTCTTAGAACTCAAGGAGGAAGAGGGAGATGTAGGTTAAAAGGTACAAAGTTTCAGTTAGGATGGATCAGTTGAGGAGATTTAATATACAGTATGATGAGTACAGTTAATGAAAACATACTATATACTGTGTTTGAACACTAATGTAGATATTAAATGTCCTCATTACTCAAAAAAAGATAACTATGAGGTGATGGAAATATTAGCATGATATAAACATGTATCAAAACATCACATTGTCCACCATAAATAATTTTTAATTATCCTTCAATAAAGAAAAAAACATTTGATAGTACTCAATGATAAAGTCATATAAGCATGTTGGGTTTTGTTGTTCTCTGCTACAGATTGAACCCAGGGCCTTCATGCTGAGATACATCCCCAAGCCTTCTTTATTTTTTTATTTTTGAAGAAAAAGTCCCAGGCTGAGGATTTAGCTCAGTGGCACCACACCTGCCTCGCAAGTGCGAAGTTCTGAGTTCAATCCCCAGTACTAAAAAAAAAAAGTCTTGTTAAGTCACTAAATTGTATAGGCTGGACTGGAACTTGGCAACCCGTCTGCCTCTGTCTCCCACAGTGCTGGGACCATAGGTGTGCACCATCTCGCCCAGCCAACCTGATACTTTCTTGTAGGAGACAAATGTTTTTGGATATGTTTATTTGATACTTTTTCTTTCTTTTTTTTTTGGTACCAGGGATAGACTCAGGACCTTGCACTTTTAAGAAAGGCATGATGCCACTGAGCTAATTCCTCGGCCCTCGATACTTTTATATTTTAAAATATTCATAACTATCTTGGCTTCCTATTTCTTTTTTTATTCATTAGGTTTATTGGTACATTTTAGGTATACAATATGATGACATTCATCATTGAGAATTTGTACCTTTACATGATATGTCTTGGCTTATTTTTTCCCCATTCCCCTGCCCTCCCTTCAACCCCTCCCCCCTATTTGTAAAGACTTTGCTTCTGTTTTTTCCTATATTTTTTTCTTTTCCCTTCTTTCCTTTCCCTTATCCTTCCCACTTCCCCTTGGGACCTTTTCTTCCTATTTCACATTCTGTATTATACATTTTGATCCTCATTTATACTTTCACCCCAGAGAAACTATCTGGTATTTACACATGTCCTATTAATTTCACTTAAGAGTATCACTTCAATGTGCATCCATTTAATTATAAATGTCTCTAGTTTCTCATTCTTTATGGCTGATTAGTACTCTATTTTATTAAAAAACAAACAAACAAACAAAAAACAAAAAACCCACATCTTCTTTATCCAGTCACCAATTGATGGGTAATTGGGCTGTTTCCAATATTTAGTTACTACAAATTGTTCCACTATAAACATGGTACCCATGTACCACATATACCATGTGGTGTGGTGGCATGTGTGTGCACTAGCACACATACGCTACTGTGGTATGATTCTTTTAACTCTTTGGGGAATAGCTGGGTCAAATGGGACCTCTAATCCTACTTTTTTGTGTGGTTTTTTGGTTTTGTTTTTTGCACCAGGGATCAAACTCAGGCCTCTGCACTTGCGAGGCAGGCGGCAGAACCACTGAACCAAAGCCCCAGCCTAATCCTAGTTTTTTGAGGTATCTTCATATTGTCTTCTTAAATCAATTTTAATGAGCTATAATTTCTAGAATCATGTCTATAACATCTACATTTCACAATGTGCCAGAATGCTATTCTAAATCCGGTCCCTTATCATCTTTTTTAACTGTGCACTGTGTTTTAGGGAAATGGTGAAAGGAATCATCAAGCCCTTTCAAAAAAGAGTCTAAGTCCCTGATATCTAAGTCCCTCATATCATGATTTGTGCCACACAACCACACCTCCAGGCCCAATTGATGGGGCCAGCCCTGGGCTCCTACTGAAGGGCTCACAGAACCCCGGATGATGAGTCTGGACCCAGGATACTTGGGTTGAAGCCACAAAGAAAAAGATACAATGGGTTAGACAATATAAAAGTGTTACAGTTCTATTAATCTAGAAATATCATGATGTTAAAAGGCAAATAGCAGTTGCCCTGCTCCAGCCTCGTGGTGGCTACCACCCTTCTGACTCTTCCTCCCAATAATCTGGTGCAGCTGCTGCCTTGATGTACTCTCCACAACAGGCTGAAATACACGAGGCTCACAGCCATGACCTTGAAAATCTGGCTGCAAAGCTAGAAGAAATCTACAAAGGAGGTGTCAAGAAGAGACTTCTGGCTCCCAATATCCACTCCATGACAGCGTTCTGGGAATGGATTCCACTGCCACCAGGGTGGCCTCTGAGGTTAGCACCAAGGCACAAGTCACAACTCCAGCCTTGTGACTTCCCTCCCTGCTGAACCCTGCCACACCTTCCCATGAACACTGGGCCACCACCGTGAACGGGAATCTCTTTATCCTCCCTCCCCGCACCCCTCTTCTAGCAACCTGGGAATGTCTAGAATAGAATCATGGTGCCAGATTAGAAAATGCCACTTTTAATTGGTAGTCTCAGTATCTCCTCTTGAGATTCTTACTATTTTGTTTAAAAAATTCTTTTGAGCATGCCTCAGTGGAAAGAAACGTGCTAATTTTCCCATCACATCCATTATACTAAGTATTTTTAAAGTATCTAATACTATGTCATACTGCTTCAAAGCAACTACATTTAAAATCGAAAGCCACAAAGTAAATGAAGAAAACGCTTGCAAATAATGCGACAGGAGAGCTTCTTGACAGACAAGTGCTTCTTGGCTACTCACCTCAGGCAAAAGGCAGGGGTCGTTCTGTAAAAGCAGGACCCGAAGCTGGGCTTCGTTGAGGCCAAAAAGCCCATGTTTTTTCAGAACTTGGATGTTGATGGGGGTGTGGATATCGTGGGAAAGGGTGCAGGTGGACCTAGAAGAACACAAAGCTCCTACCAGAAGCCTGCGAGGGGCTGGCTCACCTGACTTGTGAAGGTGACCGATTACTGGTAATCAGAAAGCCCCAGGGTCAATTCCTTGTTCCACGCTCTAAAGCTGAATCCCCCCAACACACCAGGGTCACCCCACCCGTACCGCACCTGGTCACCTCCCCTGACTCAGGCCCCGGGGTGGGCAGCACAGTAGGCTTCAAGGCACCTCTGGCAGCACCAGCCGCTGCATCTTGTCCCCCCAACCCTGGCCTCGATTTCCTGGGATCAGACACAGTATACAGCCTCTTCTGTAAAATTCTGGGGTTCCAAAGGTCCGTGCAACTCCCAAGACCCTCAGATGTCCCATCAAGGAGCACTTTGAACTTATAATCATGCATTTAACCCGGTGGCATGGACAATCCGAGGCGGAGATAGCAATTTTCAAGGGGCGAGGCGGGTATTAAGAAACCTCAGTGGTCTGGCTGGGCGTGGAGGCGAATGCCTTCAACCCCAGCTCTCGGAAGGCCGAGGCAGGAGGTTCGCAGGAGTTCAAGGCCAGCCCGGGCTACACAGCAACCGGTCTCAATGGGGATGTAGGGGGAGCCTGGGTGGCAGCCTGGGTCCCCTTCCAGACCGCCCCGCTCCGCGTCCCGCGCCCCTCACCAGCAGTCACGGTGTGGGCACTTGCCCAGCATGTGCCGGCGGCAGAAGTGCA